GTTGTCGTCATGGAAATGATATGCATACCATGTTTCATCTCCATGTGTGCTGCTGTTAGCAAGTTTGAGGAGTGAAGAAGAAATTTTAAAGAAAAGTGCCTAAGGCTATTTGTTGTTGTGGTCGCCATGGAAACGATCTAATACACCTGCGCACCAAGTTTCACCTCCATGCGTGCTACAGTTATATAGCAAGTTTGAGGAGTGAAGAAGTAATTTTAAAGAAAAGTGCCTGAGGCTCTTTGTTGTTGTGGTCGTCATGGAAACGATGTTACACACATGCGTAACAAGTTTCATCTCCATGCGTGGTACCTTTAGCGAGTTTGAGGAGTGAAGATGTAATTTTAAAGAAAAGTGCCTGAGGCTTTTTCAAACAAAATGCGGTCATCATGGAAACATGTAATCGTCATGGAAATGATATAATAGGCATACTTACCAAGTTTCATCTCTATGTGTGCTACCATTGGAGAGTTTGAGGAGTGAAAAAGTAAATTTAAAGAAAAGTGCCTGAGGCTAGTTGTTGTTCTTTACAAACATGTACTGTTGTTATTTTGATGTTGAATATATTATGTCTACAAAGTTTCGTTCACATAGCTCTTACCATTTATGAGTTATACTGACACATGTGATCGCATTATAATGTATTGCCTGGGGCTATTTGTTTTTGTTTACAGTAAACAATGTTATTTACAAAGAAATAAGTATGACCAATCTCTTCGGGTGATGGATATCTACATTCTTACAACATTTCATTACTTTATGTTGTTTCGTTTTTGAGTTACGCGAGTTCAATCTGAAGAAGGAGAAGAACAAAACTCCCTATCATAGCCCCATACATCTATGATGCTAGGTACCATGCCAATCCCTATATCACTAAGTACGGTAGTACTTAGTATACAAGTAAAAAAAAATCCTGCGGATTAAAAAAGAGTGCATATAGGGATCGTATAAAAAGAAAGGGAGACAAGATAGGGATTGTGTTTGTGGAAGCACAGAGATGCTAGCGAGGAGTTAGGTCATTACAACAGCCCTATATCGTCGTATCGGTGCTTGACCACGGAGTAAAATCTTCCTCGCATAAGTATCAGCAACCCTGCATACTTGAATTTGGTTTTCTCGTATTATACGTATGTTTTCCATGTAATGATGTTATGCACGTACATTGTTTTGGTCAGCAGATTATTACGACAGTACACATAACTGCTCGCACCTTGATGTGCATACACTCCATGGGAATGTAGCATGACAGATCGATGGCAACAATCATTATTAAGTAGTACAGTACTTAGCAATACTCTTTCATAACCTTCACTCCCACCGTACGACGATATAGGGCTGTTGTAATGACCTGTGGGAGTCCTAACTCCTCGCTAGCATCTCTGTGCTTCTACAAACACAATCCCTATCTTGTCTCCCTTTCTTTTTATACGATCCCTATATGCACTCTTTTTTAATCCGCAGGATTTTTTTTTTACTTGTCTCCACTCATTTTTATATACTACTACGTATTGAAGGGGGCAAGCCCCTATAAAAATTAATAATAGAGAAAAAATGCCTGTTGTCGTCATGGAAATGAAATGCATACCATCCATGTGTGCTGCTGTTAGCAAGTTTGAGGAGTGAAGAAGTAATTATAAAGAAAATTGCCTGAGGCTATTTGTTGTTGTGGTCGTCATGGAAACGATGTTATACACATGCGCACCAAGTTTCATCTCCATGCATGCTATAGTTAGCAGGTTTGAGGAGTGAAGAAGTAATTTAAAGAAAAGTGCCTGAGGCTATTTGTTGTTGTGGTTGTCATGGAAACGATGTAATACACATGCGCACCAAGTTTCACCTCCATGCGTGCTACAGTTAACAAGTTTGAGAATTGAAGAACTAATATTAAAGAATATTGCCTGAGGCTTTTCACCCAATATGCGGTCGTCATGGAAACACATGCGCACAAAGTTTCACCTCCATGCGTGGTACCGTTAGCGAGTTTGAGGAGTGAAGAAGTAATTTTAAAGAAAAGTGCCTGAGGCTATTTGTTGTTGTAGTTGTCATGGAAAGATGTTACACATGCGCACCAAGTTTCACCTCCATGTGTGCATAGTTAGCAAGTTTGAGGAGTGAAGAAGTAATTTAAAGAAAGTCCTGAGCTATTTGTTGTTGTGGTTATCATGGAAACGATGTAATATACATGCGCACCAAGTTTCACCTCCATGCGTGCTACAGTTAACAAGTTTGAGAATTGAAGAACTAATATTAAAGAAAAGTGCCTGAGGCCTATTGAACAATATGCGGTCGTCATGGAAACGATATAATAGGGATACGTACCAAGTTTCATCTCTATGCGTGCTACCATTGGAAAGTTTGAGAAGTGAAGAAGTATTATTTAAGGAAAAGTGCCTGAGGCTATTTGTTCTTATTTACAAACGTTATTTTGATGTTGGCTATTGAATACATTATGTGTACAAACTTTCGTTCACATAGCTCTTACCAATTTTGAGTTACACTGACACATCTAGTATGCCCATTAAAATGTATTGTCCATTATAATGTATTGCCTGGGGCAATTTTGTTGTTGTTTACAGTAAACAACATTGTTTACAAACAAAAAAGTATGACGTTGCCCATGTGGTTATCGATATGTACATTCTTACAAAATTTAATGGGTTTATCTCTTTCGGCTTTTGAGTTATGCTGGTCGAACAGGAAGAAGAAGAAGAAGAAAATGAACAAAACTCCCTATCATAGCCCCATACATCTATGATGCTAGGTACCATGTCAATCCCTATATACTAAGTACTACCGTACTTAGTGATAGGGATGACACAGGTTGTCCTGCATTATGCCCATACATTGGGATTTTCGTGTTTCACTTTCTATTTCAATCAGATCCAACTTTGACACATCAGACTATTTGTATCGTCACAAAGACATGAATCCAAGAAATAGCTTAAATCGCATAATCGTGTACTTGATTTATTAGTCACTTTTTCAAATTTTCTTCTTCCTTGTTGTGTTGTTGTTGTTGTTGTTGTTCGTTTCTCAGTTTCAACAAGCGTATCTCAAAAACCGGGTAAGCTAGATAGGGATCAACTTTGCACAAAGATTGGGAATCGCTGACAGGTCGTGAAGAGCATTTTTCTTTCTTCGTAAACAATTTTGTTTACATGTAACACAACAAATAGCAGGCAATACATTATGATGAGACTAATGAAGTGTGCTAACTGGGTAAAGCTAATACCCAGAGAGATAAAACTTTGTACACATATACAACCCATCATTATTATCAAATGTAAACATTACAGTTTGTAAACAACACAAACAGCCTCAGGCAATAAAAACTTGTAAAATGTGTTTGTGCCTATAACTTGCTTATGGTGGGTCCTCTAACAATGAAACTTGGTACACTGATGTACCATGATGAGAATTCATCGAAACAGAAAATTACAAGTTAGTAAACACAACAAACAGCCTCAGCAATAAAAATGATGCTTGTGCCTCTAACTTGCATATTGTGGGTACTCTAACATGAAACTTGGTACACTGATGTACCATGATGAGAGTTCATCGAAACAAAAATTACAAGTTTGTAAACAACACAAGCAGCCTAGCAGGCCTCAGGCATGAATACTTGTACTGATGTACTTAGTATATAGGGATGACACAGGTTGTGCTGCATTATGCCCATACATTGGGATTTTCATGTTTCACTTTCAGTTTCAATCAGATCCAACTTTTGACACATCAGACTAATTTGTATCGTCACAAAGAGCATGAACCCAAGAAATAGCTTAAATCGCATAATCGGTACTTGATTTATTAAAAAAACTTTTCAATTTTCTTATTCTTGTTGTTGTTGTTGTTGTTTAGTTTAGACAAGCGTATCTCAAAAACCGGGTAAGATATGAAGATCAAACTTTGCACAAAGATTGGAATCCATGACAGGTCGTGCAAGAACATTTTTATTTCTTCGTAAACAATTTTGTTTACATGTAAACAACAACAAATAGCCCCAGGCAATACATTATGATAGAGTGCTAACTGGGTAAAGCTAATACCCAGAGAGATAAAACTTTGTACACATATTCAACCCATCATTATTATCAAAATGTAAACATTACAAGTTTGTAAACAACAACAAACAGCCTCAGGCAATAAATGATGCCTTGTGCCTCTAACTTGCATATTGTGGGTCCTCTAACAACGAAACTTGGTACACTAATGTACCATGATGAGAGTTCATCGAAACAGAAATTACAAGTTTGTAAACAACAACAAACAGCCTCAGGCGATTAAGTGCTTAACTTTGTACACTTATCTACTTTGGAAGTGAAATTAAAATGTAGATGACGACTAAGAGTCCGAGGCAATAAATACATGTTATTTTTATAATTATGGACATTATGCCCCAATGCATGCATGCCATAAAAAAAGGAAAGGAGACAAGTAAATAAAAAATTCTGCGAATTAATAAAGTGTGGAATATAGGGATGCCATAAAAAGCAAGGAGACAAGACAGGGATGACCTAGTGCATGTGATGCAGTAGTACAATGGGATGATTGTTACATCTTCTAACTGACATTTCTTGCTGATGTAAATTTTAATCCACACAAGCCCTATATTGTCGCAAAGCACGAGTGATCTCTATCGTATGATGTGCAGCTATGACTCATTTCCTATGCACGTAAGACTGGTAGCAAATGCCCTCTCTGACAGGTCCTCAGTTTTGAATCGTGACTGTATGTTCGCCCAACTAACCGGTTTTACAATGCTGCTTTCTCTACAGAATTCGTTTGCCAGTCTTCAGTCTTCACACTACACTATTCAAAACTCATGTCATGAGTAAGAGTGGCGACAATATAGGCCTTGTGTGGATTAAAATTTACATCAGCAAGAAATGTCAGTTAGAAGATGTAACAATCATCCCATTGTACTACTGCATCACATGCACTAGGTCATCCCTGTCTTGTCTCCTTGCTTTTTATGGCATCCCTATATTCCACACTTTATTAATTCGCAGAATTTTTTCTTTACTTGTAACACCTTTCAATTGCCAGTTGGTTAGGCTGCGCCAAAGTGTATCTAGCTTTCTTTACTCTCTCTCTTTTGGCATAGCAGTGATACTTCTTGAAATATCTTAGCCTGGTGCTATGGTGTGAGGCATGATACTCCCGAAACAATGCCTTCATTCTTTCAGGGTTAGCTTTATACGCTGCCTGGGTAGCTGCACGCTTTTTTGCAGGGTTTGCATCATAGCGGGCTTTTGCAGCAGCTTTTCGTTTTTCTGCATTTTCTTTATATGAGCCAAATTTTCTTCAAAGGGTGCAAATTATACAAGGCCCTAGATGCTGCCTTTTTCTTATCAGAATCAGCACAATATAGGGCCCTAACAACAGCCTTCTTTTTATCAGGATCAGCACAATATGAGGCCCTAACAGCTGCCTTTTTCTTTTTAGGATCAGCATGATAGGAGGTCCTAGCCACTGCCTTTATCTTATCAGGGTCTGACAAATAAAGGGATCTACCTCTAGCTTTTATTTCCTCAGAATCCAGCACATAATATCTCTTGGCACATGCCCTCTTTTTTCTTGGGGAGCGGTAAGGCATTTTCCCAGCAGCAAAATTGAACTTATCTGAAAGGAAGCCCAGGTGTTGTCGTCTTGGTTGTTGTCTTGGGTGCAGTGACAACTATCAGCAAACCTGTGGTAGAGGGCAGTGGAGGGCACAAGATCTCAGACGAAAGAATGAAAAAAGCGGGTGTGGTGTTTCAGTATCAACGATTCAGTTGCAGCTACAGGGCAGCTAGAGGGCGAGGTGGAAAAGTGAGGGGGAAAGTGGGAACAGGTACAACAGCAACACAGTTGAGACGGTTTGCAATCAGACGAAAGAACCGGGAGTGATGTTTTCAGTATCAACGACTCACTCGAGGGCGAGGTGGAAAAGTCATGGACAGAGTGGGAACAGGTATTAACAACGACAGTAATGCAGTTGAGACGGTTTGCGACTCCGGACCAGTGCACCACGAACTACAGAAGAGTGCCTCAGGGCCAGTGGGTACACCCAGGCACGAAGGAATGTCGTGTAGCACCTCGAAATAAAGAGCTAATGGAAAATAGGGCAAATGAGAAACTGAATACAACCATATGGAGAGAGTTTGCAGAGCTTACATTGAAAACGAAATGAGTAGCTGTGGCCCCAACTCCAGTCGAAGGTAGTAGTAGCATGGGCCAGTACAAAAACACCGGACGGGGTGCCGATGTAACGCATTAACCTCAGAGGTAGAAAGTTAAGATCATACGCAATATGTTTTGTAATACCAACACTTACTTGTGAAATCAGCGCGGTACACGAAGTTCAATTAGCAGAGCGAAAGAGACTGACACCAAGTGTCGACGTGTGGAACAAGGACAGACAAAAAAACTGATCGTAACCAGACTCGGCAGAAACGGGCCAAACGTGGAGACAAAACTCGGCCAGACGGAGCTCAACGGACGAGAGCGAGCGGAGCGGCAACCACGCGGTCTTTTATCCCGCGTCGCGCGCAAGGCGCCGGGAGTGGGTGGGGTCTGAATCGACCGTGAAAATGGCGTCGTTTTCTGTGAGCAATATTGTACGCTAGATCTTCCGTACCGATTGGCAGCAAGAAAACGAACATCGCTTGACGACGATGCACACCTCCACCATAGCGGGGTACGTTTAATGGGAAAATCAGCGCTTGAACTTGTTCCGGTAAGGAGAAATCGGGTCTAAAGAAGAAGAAGAAGAAGAAGAAGAATATGATGACACGAAAATTGTGAAATCGCGTATGAGCGGTTTCTCGTGTCGAGAATTGCAGGGACGTATGGAACTTTTGGGCATATGTATAGGTAGATATGGACCCGTGAGTGATTTTTGGTGTGTTTTGAAGGCATAGCTAGCCATCCTCGCCGAGTTTCGAGGCGTTTTGTACCCGGATCACGTGAGATTTCACTCGTTACATCCCTACGTACATAGAGCGTCTACCGACGCTCTGATTATCCCAAGGATACGGTGTGAATTACAGAAAAAGGTATGCAAGGAGTACACATAGACTATGATCTGAAGAGAGCTCCTATTCGTGAAATGCCCACTCAATTCCCTCTCCTTACATTCCCATTCTGAGCGGTGTGTAGCTTGGTAACTGGAACCACGTTAACTATAGTGGTATTCACATGTTGGGCTGTATAATAGGCTTTAATCTGTTCACTAGCTTCAAAGTAATCAGCAAAATCCATGGCAAATTCTTAATTACGATGGAATTCACACGCTTCAGTGACACTTACTCGACAATATTATTGATGAGCATTTTTTGGAAAGCGGGAGTCAAGTAACAGCTCTTCTGCACACACACCCCCAAATGTTAGTTGGACGTTCAGATGTTTATGTTCAAATGTCAGTTGGACATTCGCATTTGCTTTTGACCTTCAATAATTGTGAGTTGACATTCAAATTTTGTGACATTCAAATGTAAGTTAGACTCGCAGATGTCACTCAGGTTGAGACCACATCTTGGAGCCTGCACTATAGCTACATGCCACACAAGAAACCTCAACCTCAGAAACATCAACTCAGGCTGTCAGCACATAAACTGTTGTTCCTTTCGGGCCACAGCCCTTAGCCATAGCTGCCTTTAAAATCTGTAATCATCTTAGTTGTGCAGTTCGCTGTGGAGAAGGTCTATATACCGTAATGTCTGAACCTTATCTCTTTGACCCCAGCTCATCAAAATAATTGTTATTAGTATCGTAGCAATGAGTCTCTATAGAATTGCCCTTACCTTGCGAACTGTATATACATAACTCTTGACATTGTCCTTTCTCAATAGAGTTAGTGCATTTTTACTGTCTAAGGGAAATTTTCCCTTAAAGCAGGTCAAAGAGGTTTGAAACATCCGTTGTTGCTTCAGCTGATCATAGCTACCAGCTGGTGGTAGCTAGGGAGGGTGGTTTTAACAGCATCAGAAGATTGTATAGGGCAACCTAATGTGGGGAATCTTATCTTTTGCAGTCCCTCTGTTATCGCAACTCATTAGCCAGCTGTAGCAAGTTCCTCCAGCTCACACACTATGGCATCAGACTGACTACTGTAGTCATGTTCACACCGACTGTAATGGTCATGTTCTCTTGTATGTTGTTGCCCAGATCATCACCAATGCACCAATAGTCACGGCCTTTAAAAGTGATGTTTATTCGCTCTCGGTTCCTAAGATTGCTGTCAGTTAACCTGCTCAACCGCTACTGCACGAGTAGCTGCTAGTCCCCCAGCGCTAACTTTGACCAGATTACACCAGCTATGGTTACTGCTACATGTCTGTAGTGGTGTACGCATTGAAGCTTCTGAGATGATCTGCGGGTCTTGTGTCTAGTGACACTGCATCTAATGTACAGCTGGGACAGTCTCAAATTGATGGTAAGTGCAAACAATAACATATACTCGGTATCAAAATCCACTGATTGTGTGGGCTACAGTTGTATGAAGCTATTATTATTATTATTATACACACCAAATACAGGTGCAGAATGATAGGAAAGGAAAGATGTAGATGACAGGTGAACCAGTGGCCTTCTGGACTATATGCCGTCGCCAACCGGGGGCTTAAGGGCTCCTGGACCGACCACTGGACCACCCATAGAGAGAAGAATGACATAATAACTGATTACGGCAGTAGACTTCACTGACATGAGACAGTTTCAATAACTGATTCAATAGGTGTGTATAACCCATGATATGAACGGATGAGCCTTATGGTGCAGGCAGTGTCAAAATCTTCATCACTAAATACTCTAACATGTTGATGACCATACAAAACATTGTAACCGGCAAAAGAATAAACATAGGACCAGCGACTACTATAGGACCAGCCTTGGAAACAATGCAGAAATACATGGAGTCTGCCTCAGCAAGCCTCAGTCAGAAAGTATAATCTCACAGATGGCTTGTTCCGTTTTTCACGCTGAAACGCACTTTTACTACGAAATTCGCCAAATTTAACACATTTTAAAATCAAGCCAGTGTAGCGTTGAACCATTTGGTTTTTCGTTGCGCGTGGTGGCGGTAACAGACAGACAAAGACGCAAATGCACACTTGCGTATTATTAACCCTCTGCGCGCATGCGCAGGTAGGGTTACAGTAGTCGTTCTGTCTGTCTTCTGTCGACGCTTATTCAGGCACTACAGGCTACGAGGCGGCCCATTAGCGATACCAGCGGATTCAGAACTACGGGAGCCTGAAAATGTATTAGGCGATTTTCCTGAAACGACTTCGTTCGAGAGATATGCCGTGAAAACAAGCGAAGAAGCCAAATCGCACTGGGCTTACCGCGACCTGATCCGCTCATTCTGTGTATATACCTTGGGGGCTCAGGAAGTCACAACCAATGGCATGTATCGACTCCCGCATGCTATCTACTACTGTAGCTAGCCCGTGTCAGACTCTCCGCGGGCTACTAGCGGAAGCCACCACAAATAGGCCATTAAAATAATTAGCGGTATCGCGCATGCGCATTTCGCCGAGGGTTTGCAATTTAGAGCATGCGCATGCCGTAAGGTGTAAACCTCGGTGCGCATGCGCACCGAGGGTTAGCAAACCCTCTGCACACTGCGCATGTGCGGTACTGGCTGGGCTAAGAGATCGAGAGTGTGTATATACGTATATACCACCAACCGCGGGTTACGTTTTCGCGCATTCGTGGATCCAGGCATACGCAATGCGGTGGACACTAACAACAACTTGTGAGCCGGGACGCCGAAGTGCGTACAGTGAAGACCTTAGATGGCGTATTGTATGGCAGAGAGAAGTGTTGGGCTACAAATATTACTACTTACTAGCTACCTGCAAAATATGGCAGGTCGCCAGCAATCTCAATGCGCAATCCACCCCGAACCCCCCAAATTCTACGAAGCCTTTTCGTAGAGGTGCAGGCATGCATTTTTATAAATTCTGGCCGCGCTACAGAGCGCAGTTTTTGCTAAGAAAAAAGACGTTCGTTTGAAGCAGTAGAAGATCGAGGCAGCATCGGATCGCAGTGCCGCCATGTGTATCGCCTCCAATATAATGCTGCTGCTGCTCTTCAGCGCATGCTGCGCATATGCTTATTCGAATGGCGCCCAGCTGGCGGCTTGCAACACTCTGACACCGCTACACGAAAACTCTACTTCCCAAATAAGCCGGGTACCTTTTACCATTGATCTTGATCAGTTTGAAGTAAATGGAATCTACCAATACACTCCAAGCAAGGAATATACACGTAAGAAATAATTGTTGCCCTTTCGGTACTAAGCTACTGCGTAACTTTATTCTGCAGTGACCATCTCTGGCCCAGAAGATGATTATTTTAAGGGGTTCTTTGTCCAGTCTCGTCTCATGAGCGACGACACTACTCGAGTCGGAGTTTTTGCTGCGACAGACCCCAATTCGCGTCTTAGTTCATGTCCTAAAGAAACGGTAAGTCATTCTGCGAAGTTAGCGACCTGTATATTTGCGGAATGACTTATTGTTTGTGGTGGCTAGGATGGCGTTACCCACAGGGAAGAAATGGAGTTCAAAAGCATGGAAATGGGGTGGACGGCTCCACCTGCCGGTACCGGACCTATTCGTTTTGCGTAAGTATAGCATGCTAGCGCTGCTGACGGAAGATTTTGACTAGCTATAATTATGTTCGCTTTAGATTTGCAATTGTTCATGAGTTTGACGAATTCTGGGCTGATCAGCGAACTGAGATGCTGGAAGAAGGGCCAGCCACATCAAAAGCTTCAGGTATTATAACTATCGCCAAAGTTCAATGCTGCCACTTTTCTCTGCCTAATGTCATCATTGACAAAATCAACCAGTTTGCTCATTACCAACTAGCTATGTACATGCTAAGCCAACATCGGCAAATTATGCACATGCCTGCTGAGACATCCTAATGTTCCACCTTCAAGCCACTCCCTGCACCACCAGGTCAAGGAATTTACTGTGAGATGAGCTAGGGGGCTCCGACCTTGTCCATACTATTACCAGTACAGGAGTATAATTATACTGATTATCACAATGGAAGCTTTTTCCTGTGTATAACTAAATGGACATGATGATAGTGTAGCTATCTTATATGCAGGTGTGACAGTGTCAGTGCTGGTGCTCCTGTTGCTTGCTGTGCTGGCCTCACTCCAGTTCTGAGCCCATTAGAGATGGAACTCTGCAATGATCAGTATAATAGCTAGTGCACTGCTGTGATAAAAAAAAACCTTGTATATAGTGGGATATTTCTGATCGGATGAAAACGTATTATATACCAGTTGAACATTTTTACAAACTAATAAGAGCTACAATAGGCATTGTCACTGCTGCAAGTGTTCATGATGAAACATTTGTCTCAGTTTTTGAGCAATGCTAAATCACGTCTCCAACTCGTGAGAACGAATCTCAGTCGCGCATTCCTTACTGAAATTCGACCTTTGAACCCGAACTCGTGGCAACCGAAGATGCCGAAATCCAAGAGAAATAGAATCTGTGAGTTGACCTAACCCTAGCCCTCACTGAGTGTGGTCAGGTGACGTATTGCCCCTGTGACTCCAGACACTCTGTCGCAGACGAGGAAGAAAGGGAGAGAGGCAAAGAGCGGACTCTTACAGGAGGTAACTACACCTCACAAAACGCCTTTTACAGCCTTGTGGTTCACGAACCAGCTCTTTTGACTTTTTCTTTTGGTATTAAGATACAGATGAAGTTAGCCTTGTTTTCCTAGTGTGTCTTATGGTGTCTCTCACATTCTGTATACATACCTACAGTACAGTAGCATAATCGGTTTGTGTGCGTGTCGTCATCTTTGTTACCAGCATGTAAAATCACCACTGTGATGTTCTACGTGATTTCTAAATACACACAAAACACACGCGAAATATTGAACTGCTCGCACTCGCTTGCCAACTATGCGTGGCATTCCCAGTGTTTGAGCTAAAACGACAGGGCGGGGTGCCCCCTAAGATTTGAACCCGCCCCTTTAAAAAACAGCTCTGCCCCCATATTACGGCAGCTTGCCTTTACATAGGCCCTTATTGCGCAATCAGAAATGCCACGTGTAGCAACAGGAAGATGTCTTCGCATCATGTCCAGCGAATTATTGACAGTTTTTTCAGCTCGACCAGCAGCGCTCTGGGCCCTCCAATGCGCCGTCGAGTGTAGAATCTGCTGATAAATCGTGGAGTTCGCCAGTGGTGGGCGGAGACGACTCAGAGTCCGAGCCCGTGACCAAGAAAGTCCGAAGGTCAAAAGTCAAACACAGGGTTGGTGGATTCAATCCCGCATGGAAGAAGGACTTTACGTGGCTAGAAAGTGTGAAAGTAGATGGAATAACAGGTATGCGCTGTAAATTGTGTGCAAACCACGGGAAATGGCCTCAGAACTGGAAGGGCAGTTGGATAATCAACCGTTGTTTTTCTCTACGAAGAGATAAAGTAATAAAGGCTGAGTCCAGTGCCATACACAGGGGCTGTTGTAGCGGCAGCAGAAGCATCTTGTGGTGGCATCCCTCGTAAATTTAAAGATGCTGAGACAGCGGAAATGCAGGCAGCGATAGGGTGCTCCAAATGGCTATGCAAACACGAGTATCCACATGTGATAGCTTTGGCTGAAAGCTTGGGTTGCCATTACTTTGAGCTCTGAAAGTTGGCCGCAATGCCAAATACACCTCTCCACAGATCGTGGGAGAGAGTCCCTAGAGATAATTAAATGTGACGTGGAGGAAGCGTTCAGTGTCCCGCTGGACTTCTTGGAAAGAATGAAGTAGCCAGGAATGCTGTACCGCTAGAGTACAGCCAAGAAGCATACAGTACTGAAAGGATGCAACTCTATGCAGGAGCTGGCAGAGAAAGTGCTCTCAAACGACAGCACAAAAGAGCTTCCCCCCCTCGTGGCTCAACTCGTGGTACATGCACTGGTTTTGCCAGTATCGACCACTGACTGCGAGCGATGTTTCAGTGCAGTGAACCGGGTTAACACTGAACTTCACAATAGAATGAACACACGTACGAGTTAGAATTGAAGGTCCAGAGGATTTCCCACATTATCGAAGCAGCAACATGTCCCGTGCCAAAAAAACGCAGATTTTTTAACAGTTAGACTCTTTGTGTTTGTAATATTTTAATGTGTAAGTTTATGTTCAACGCTATGTGTACTCAAATGTTGTTCAAATACCACCCCCCTTAAATTTGATCCTAGCAAATACCACAGTACCCCCCTTAAATTTGATCCTAGCTAAAACCCTGATTCCTCTAGTACTATATCTCTCTCTCTGTTGATAATTATTGTCCAGGTACGAGACTGTGTGGACAAGTACTCACACATATTTGTGTATAGTGTTGAGAACATGAGAAACAACAAACTCAAGGAGGTGTGTTGCGAGTGTCTGTGTGTTGTGGATCTCTTTCTGATAGCTTTGCTGTGTTGAAAAAATCCCAAACTACTTGCATTCTTACAACGTTGCGAAATACTAGTACAAAAGTGCCAATGTCTCGGGAGATACAATACCAGGACTGCTCAAGAAAAGTTGAGGAAGCAGAACAATGTGTCTGTGTGCATTGAATATTCACAATAGCCCCCCTCTCTAAATGACCTCCTTAGTAATGTGAGCATGTAAGCACTGGAGCATGTAGTATATTTCTTTACCGGGCTAGTTTAAAAATCTGCACATCTCGCTCCCGATCGCATGGTAGACTGAAAGAAGTGTGAATAGTGCATGTGTAGATGGTGAGAGAGAGAAACAATGTTTTGTTCCCTGTGTCTCCTGTGTCAGTGTGATATGATGTTGTCTTCCTGTCTGTTCAGGTGAGGACCCAGTGGAGGAGCGGTGATGGTTCTACGGGAGGAACAGAGTCCTGGCCCACAGCCCTCGGGAGGTTGAGGCCGAGGAAATACAGAGAGGGTCTCTCCTCTCTTGCCAAGGTCACACACACACACACACACCTCGTCTGCAGCCGCGAGCTGCCCTTTCGTACTACATGATGCTGCTCTTCTGCGTTGTTTGATCTCTATGATGTGATGACACATGCATCATATGTACTTATTGTGTTTAGCACACTCTAGCATTAGAGAAAGATGATGAAAATAGGAAACAGCCCAATCAACTAGGTTGTTCAATGCCACTTTCATACCAATTTATTTCTTTAGTGTATAAGATTCATAAGAAAAGGTTTTTCCTTCCTTCAGTTCTAAGATGGAAAACGTCGGTTTTTTGTCTATTTCAATAATTTAATTCCCCGGGACGATGTCATCAGCTTGGTTCAGTCCTACTCTGAACAGGACAAGACGTTGGCGGGTTTCTAGCAACGACGATGTCGTTATCCAGGAGGTCCCTGCTGATAAGTTCCCTCACGTATGGAGCATCAATTTTGAGGGCCTTTGTCTAACGACATAGCTGTCAAGAATAGGTTTTGAATTTTGACAGTTCTCTAATCAATAGACAGTGGGTTTTTAGCCAATGATTATGGTTGTTTTGGTTTTTTTTTTGTTGTTGGTTGCATTCGACATAACCGGTAATGTGTGTGTCCAAAAGTACCCCATTGTCAGTATTATAATTATTTAACCTTGGCGTCACGCATGCGCAGCGATTGGGTTACAGTCAGTATTTCTTGAGTTGTCGGTCCGTCATCTGTATGTCAGTTATACCGTTCCTGTACACGTTTTCTGAGCGATCAACATGGTAACATAGTCTCACCAACGGGTATGCAGCGCTACTTTATTGCTTCATTTTATGACGATTGTTTGTTAAAAGTCGCCGCGTTCAGATAAGTTATGGCGTTTGTTAATGTGTTTATCTGTAAAAGCAATCTGTGAACACAGGCCAATAATATGCACAATAGCACAGGCTACCTCGGACAAGCGTCGTCTTCTCCGCTCGACTATGTGTATGTGTGAGGTCAAACTATAAGAAGTCAGCAAACTAAATGCATGTCATGGATCGACTCAGCGACTGCTCTACTACTGTTAGCTAGCCAGTGCTCGGTTTTAGGACTCTCGACGACTGCGCTATAGTTTAACACATAACTACAAGGCCACCGACATCTATAACGCTGCTTCTGCACCGTTAGCCAATGGGTTTCCCACTTTAGTGATCTGTATCATGCCATTAGCCCGGACATACAGCTTCAGCATTCGGCATCTATAGTGTGGGGTATATCTATTTATACTGCGACAGCCAAATGCTTGGAAACATCCTCCCTGTGGTATGGTTGTTATGTGTGCTAGGATATCGAGTGGCATTGAGTTTGTCGCTACTCTCCTCCCTTCGCTGTCTCCTTTGATGCACACATTGTTGTTAGGAGTGGTATATGTGACAGAAGTAGAGTTAGCACACTGTCATGTAGAGGTGGGGAGGGACAACTCGTCTGCCGCGAACTAGGTCCAGCCTCCTGTTTGGACCTAAACACAACTAAAACTCTGTATCAGTAGTTATGATATATTATATTGTGAATGCAGACACGAATAGAAAAGAACTGTTGGACTGGAACGATGCCAGAGTGCAGATCTCTCATCCAGGCGTCTGGTCTCAAGCAGGAGTGGGATCACTGAGCTATGGACGGCACAGCAGGAGACCTCAGAAAAGAACTGTGAATGTTCATAGTTTATCATGAAGGAAATTATACACATGCACTGAGTATTGTTGTATTATGTGTGGTTTTGCTGTACGCACATTAAGAAAAAACTCAAAAAATAGTAACTCGATGTCCGAGTCTGTACTTACTGAGCGATAGCGTCAAATAGTATTTCTATGCACACGGCACCCTCACTTGCCGCGCAGGGTGGGTGGATTGTGCTGTCCGAGCGCACTTGTGGATTGTGTTGCTTCGTTGTGTTTTGATTTGAGCGCCACATTGGAAAGAGTCTGTGTTGTAGCCCCCTTTTGGAGATTGCCCCTGTAGAGAGGGAATCAGTCATGGTTGAAAGGTCGTGGAGGCAAAGAAATGCGGCCCCGGGAGAGTCGGACAATTTGCCCGGAGCAGCAGGGCAGCATGGTAGGTGACTGCTATATAGTTGTGTTTCTTTATGATATATATGGTCTCGGTACCAGCGGGCAAGTCAAAAGCCATTTTCATGTGTACTTAGTACTGTAAGTTGATGGAGGCAAGGAAAGCGACGGGAGGAGAGGACAAGCCCCGGAGCAGCCGGGCCCATGCAGGTAGGGTTGACGATTTATAAGCTGTGTTGGGTGTATTTGCAGATTTGGGTTATGTCCAATAAGCATCGTGACAGTAGTATTATAGATACTGTCATTTTCTATTACTGTTTCAAGATACGCAAATCTCAAATTTGAGTGATATAAAAAATGAAACTTTCTCCTGCCTTCAACTGGAGAGAAAGTATATTAATATATCATATAGGTGAGCGTGCTTAGTTTCCCTGCTCCTACATAAGTCGAGACGAGGACAAGTGCAGGCAGAGTGAGAGTGGTTTTCGGTCAGGTGACAAGTTGACTGCCATTGGAGCACCAGGAGAATTTGACTGGCAGATTGTTGGAGGTTTTCAATTTCGTAGTAAACTTTGAAAATCATAATTTTGAATATATAGGGTGTGGTTGTGTTTGTTCTTTTTTTGTTATGTGTTGAGACTACTTCTTCTCTTCTTTTGCATTCGTATGTTGTTTTTATGTCTATAATTTGTTACTATTGATGGCTATTTATGCCTTCATAGTTCGGGCATGTCTCTTAGCTTAAAAGATGGGGGTGTGGATGGGTGATTGCTTACAATTGGTTATATTAGGAGTATTGAAAACGACCATCTTCTGCCTCTACACATGCCAATCTTGATTCGAATTAGCTTACACAACCCCCTACAACGTATCCCCTGTGATGGACTCAACTGTCGGCCCATTCACATTGTTTGTCAAGTGACGGTCGAAATGATTACGAAAATCAGATTTGCTCTTGTCATTTTCTTTTTCTTTCCGCCCTACTTCCACCCAGGGGATTACTTAAACCCCTAATTCGAAGGCCTGTTTTCAAAGTGTGAATTGATGGGAAAATGAAAACGGTGTCTTGTTTGGTGTGGAAGGAAATTGGGTGGATTTAGCCTTTTAGCTAAGTAAGACTTTTTTCCGCAAACAACTGTTCTCGACTGGAAGAAGGAATAATGATTTGATATTAAATGGTTCATTGTATCCGTACAAGAACGTATTTAAAATAAATCTGGATAGAGACGGAAATGGGGGTACACAAGGGGGGATCACAAAAGAGCTGCGAAGCCTCAGGGGACGAGGAGAAAGACAATAGGAAAGGGACAATGAGGCATACGCACACAAGACACATGTGTCTTAAAAAAAGAAGATTCTTTCTTTCGTAGTTCTTCTTTTCGCCTTTATTGATTATTGTCAAAATTTGGTATATTATTAAAAATGATATGCTTTTTTCATCAAACTCCTCAGATGAAAAATATCTCATCTAACAGTTGCTGAATGAAACGTAGCTGCTTTAAATTCTTCATCCTTACGCCAGCAACACGTCCTGGTGAGACCCCAGTGCGTGATACTGCTCGTCCAGTGATTATAGGAGTGGAGTGCCTTCACTTCACTTAGAGGACCAACATTTAAAGAACTTGTGGTATGTGAAACGGCACTGGCAAATGCAGTGGCAGACTCCACCAGAGCACTATAGTAAGACTCTCCTGCTTCAGATGCATGGAGAGAAGTTGCAGTAGCTATGCTTTGCTGATGAGGGCCAACAAGCCCGAAACAGCTGTCCAGAGCTCTGCATCTTTTTTTTCTCTTGGCATCACATGGTCTATTGTTACATGGGCGTAGGAGCCCCAGTGATCCTGGGGACTTGTGGTGGAGTATCTAGGTCATCATGGGTGCCACACTGGCCCAAAGTCATGAATACTGTGATGCATCATGAGTTAAGCATCACCGTGTTTTCTTTCAACTGCTGGAATATGCTTCCTATCTCGTCATCCCTTGTGTGCCTCTTATTCAAAACACCCTCACTCTTTCACTGCTCTTCTTTACCCATGCACCACAAAAAATCTCGTTTCCTGGTGAAAACCTTTCATACATTGCAGCCACAGCATCTTGAGTTGCTATCCATCGTTTTGTGTCCCTTAAAATACCCCATATTGGTTATGTTGTCTGGAATTTCCTTCTCATACTCCTTACTAAAACCTCTGGTTACATCAAGTCCCCCCCCCAAGCACACAAAAGACAGACAATAACATACCCAAGCACACAAAACACAGCATGCATGTTATGTAACCCTCGACGTCGCCGCGGCTGTGCGCTGAGAACTTGGCGCACTACACGATTTCTGTACTAACACTTCTGACTAATTATTTTGTACTAACAGCTTCTGACTATAATTATTTCATACCACTCCATGAAGAACTCCAGCTGACCTGTCACTACTACTTGCAGATGCCTCTACACATCCCTCCCAGAAGTATGTCCAAGCTGTAGCATCCAGCTATGATGTGAGCTGGCTGAAGCTATGGGATATGGCTCTGGAGAGGGTGTCTTCGACACAGCCTGCATTCAAGGTTTCCCTACCTCCACACCCACTCAGACGGTACCTGCCGTGCTCCTAACTGTTCTTTCTACATCGTTTCCGAGTCTCCCTGTGGTCACTTTCTGTCGGCCCACACTAGTCTTGATATTTCATTTGATAATTTTATTCATTCATGCCTGTACAAACTTTTCTGTTTCACTATTTTCCAATGGTCATGGTCTTCACAGTTGTTTTAAATCTCTATGGAATCACTAGTTTGTCTTTCACCCTCATCTCATCCTGTAAAACCAGGGTTGATATTTTGAACACTGCGCATGCGCGGTAACGCTAATAGTGGGGCTTGTCTATGACTCTGTGCATGCATTTTATAAATTCGGGCCGCGCTACAGACAGCAGTTTTTGCTAAGGAAACAAGACGTCTGTTTGAAGAAGTAGGAGATCGAGGCAGCATCGGATCGCAGTGTCGCCATGTGTATCGCCTCCAGTATAATGCTCCTGCTCTTCAGCGCATGCTGCGCATACGCTTACCCGAATGGCGCCCCGCTGGAGGCTTGCAACACTCTGACGCCGCTACACGAAAACCACACTTCCCAAATAAGCCGGGTTCCTTTTACCGTTGATCTTGATCAGTTTGAAGTAAATGGAACCTACAAATACACTCCAAGCAAGAAATATACACGTAAGAAATAATTGTTGCTCTTTCGGTACTACTG